AAAATTAAAGAATTATAGTAATATGTTGAAATTGGTCACCATAGGATCCGTGGCGCAATGGTAGCGCGTCTGACTCCAGATCAGAAGGTTGCGTGTTCGATTCACGTCGGGTTCAAATCCCTGTGATCCTAAAGCATTTTTTTTTTCATCTTAACACAGCCCCATCCATTTTATGGATTCTAGATTTTGATGCAAATGACGAAAGGATTTCAAGTAATTTTAATCATAGAAATACAAAGGAATCAAATATCTGAATCTATATACATTGAAAATTGTTAGCAAATCTGGTAACTGATATTTATTAGAATGAAATACTGCTATATAAATAGCTTACAAAAAGGAAAGCTGAACTGAATGCTTCCTAAGAATCAGGGCCACTAAGTCATACTTGACTCCCTACAATTTAGGCTTAAATAAAACTAACAACCATGATCCTCTCACGATCAATAGAGACTAAGTCAGTTACATATAGCAAATAACAATTAATAACAATATTAATAATAACATAACAATTCTCCCCCTAAACTAGACTGTCTAGTTTATCTCTGAGATGTCACATACGCCAAGCTTCTTCCTGAGCTCTTGAAAGACTTCAAGCTTGAGCGGCTTAGTAAAGATATCAGCTATCTGCTGTTTGGTGCCGCAATAATTCAATTGAACCTTTCCTTCATTTACTAAATCACGGAGGAAGTGAAAGCGCACATCAATATGTTTGCTCTTACCATGCATAACCGGGTTCTTTGAGAGCTTGATGGTAGAACTGTTATCACAAAAAATCACTGGACTTTTGCTTCCATTGTAGTCCAACTTGGACAGCACCCTCTTCATCCAAATCAGTTGGCAGGCACAAGCTGACGCAGCTACGAATTCTGCTTCGGTGGTGCTGAGTGTGACTATAGGCTGTTTCCTTGATGACCATGCCACCGCTGCATTGCTAAGTATAAAGGCATAGCCCGAGGTGCTTTTCCTGTCATCGATACATCCGGCATAGTCGCTGTCTGTGTATTCCACAAGCTCCTGATTGCCTGATCTTTGATAGAAAATCCCAAAACACATAGTTCCCTGCACATACCTCAGTATTCTCTTTGCTGCCATAAGATGCATCTCAGTTGGCTTGGCCATATATCTACTGACTACACTAACTGCATACATCAGATCCGGCCTGGTAGTGGTTAAATATATCAAGCTACCAACAAGTTGCTTGAACATGGAGTTGTTTACTGTCACACCTGTATCATCTTTATCAATTTTAACCCCAGGAACAGTAGGATTTAGGACCAAGTTGCTTTTATCCATTCCAAACTTCTTCAAGACCTCTTTGGCATATCTCTTTTGAGAGATGAAGATTCCACTGTCAATCTGCATAACCTCTAAGCCAAGGAAGAAATGCATTCTTCCCAGATCAGTCATTTCAAATTCCTCCATCATTGATTGTTTGAATTCTTTCAACATAGCTTCATCATTCCCGGTATAAATCAAATCATCAACATATAGGCTAACGATCAAATGCTTCCCTTGTTGATTGATCTTGGTGAACAAGGTTTGTTCGCTTGCTTCTTTATCAAAGCCCATGTTTCTGAAGTATGCTTCAATTCTGCTAAACCAAGCTCTCGGTGCTTGTTTAAGGCCGTATAAAGCTTTCTGGAGCTTGTATACCTTAGTCGTCTCATGCTTCACTTCATATCCTTTTGGTTGATCAACATACACCTCCTCTGTAAGTTCACCTTGTAAGAATGCAGACTTCACGTCGAGCTGATACACAACCCAACTTCGTTGCGCAGCAAGAGCCAAGATCATACGCACAGTGTCTAGCCTTGCCACTGGCGCGTATACTTCTTCATAATCAATTCCGTGTTGTTGCGCATATCCCTTTGCTACTAAGCGAGCCTTATACTTGTCAATCTCACCATGTTGATTCAATTTTGTTTTATACACCCATTTAACCCCTATGCTTGCGACTCCCTTTGGTAATTCAACTAGAGTCCAGGTTCCATTCTTTTCAATGGACTGAATTTCAGCATCCATGGCTTTCTTCCAGTTGGTATTTAGAACAGCTTCCTCAAAGGATTGGGGGTTAATACATGCTGCCACATCAGAGTTTGAAACAACAGAGTTCACCACATAATCCTCCATCCACCTTGGAGCTCTTCTGCTACGTTGGCCCACTGCTGCAGATTTTTCTGTTGTAGCTACTACATTATCATCCTCAGTAGCAATCTCAGTCCCAGCTGCATTCTCAAGCTCCTCATTCTCAGCTGTTGAGTGACTTGTATCTCCACTGTACTCGATGGCTTCTTCATGCTCTGATTGATCTTGTGGTGTCACTGTATCACTCTCTTGGTCAACAATAGTAGTATCCATATCTCCACAATCAAGCTGATCTTTGTTAAATTCTGAGTGACTTGTATTCCAATCCCATTTCTTATTTTCTTCGAACACGACATCTCTGCTAACAATGATCTTTCTTTTAATGGGATCATATAACCTATATCCTTTCGACTCAGCACTTACTCCAAATAAAACACATTTAGTGCTCTTGTCGTCAAGCTTGACTCTTCGAGCATCTGGAATGTGGACATGAGCAATGCAACCAAAAACTCTGAAGTGCTCGACTGTGGGCTTCACTCCAGACCAGGCCTCTTCAGGAGTCATTCCTTTTACGGCAGAGGTGGGGCTCCTGTTAAGCACATGGAATGCCCAATTAACCGCTTCAGGCCAGAAAATCTTAGGCACTTCCTTCTCGGCAAGTAAACTTCTGGCCATGTTCATGACAGTTCGGTTTTTCCTTTCGGCAACTCCGTTTTGTTGTGGCGTGTAGGCTGTTGTGAGCTGTCTTTTTATCCCTTCTTGTCTACAATAATCAGTAAACTCGTGTGAGGTAAACTCGCCTCCACGATCAGTTCTCAAGCATTTCACAAATAAACCGGACTCCCTTTCTACCCGACTTTTAAATTGCTTGAATGTAGAAAATGCATCACTCTTATAAGCAATAAAATACACCCAAGCCTTCCTACTAAAGTCGTCAATGAAACAGATGAGGTACCTTTTTTGACCATGTGACATTGGCGAGATGGGACCACATATGTCGGCATGTATAAGCTTCAATCGGGCTTCAGCTCTCCACATGGATTTTCTTGGTATGATCTCCCTGTGTTGTTTTCCTTTCAAACACTCAGTGCATACAACAGTAGTTTCTCTAGCAGCAATGATTTCTCCAAGATTTGGCAAGCCTTTAACCATGTTGTTGCTTGACAAAGTTTGAAGTCCAGTATAGCTAAGGTGGCCATACCTGCAGTGCCATAGATGAGCAATTTCTTGGATGTCAGTTTGGAAGCAGCATTCACCTGACTCATTGGTAGCCGAGGAGGTCTTCGAGAGCAATATGAACATTCTGTTGAGTGTCATTCTGCTTTCAAGGATAAGGCCCTTTAATGGATGATAGATTTTGCACTCATTGTTCTTGATTAGAAAGGCCAAGCCTTTCTCCTGTAACTGTCCGATACTTAGTAAATTGTTCTTCAATTCTGGAATATAGAACACTTCTTGAACAACATAACAAACACCGCCAAGATTTAACCTAACACTCCCTTTGCCCACAACCTTCATCCTCATATGGTTCCCTAGACTGACTTCTCTTTTGAACCCTTCCTCCATGGTACAAAAGAGAGAGATGTCTCCGCTCATGTGGTTGCTGCACCCGCTGTCTAAGAACCATGCAGTCTCTCCTTTTTCCCCTGATGCTTCAATATAAGCCATAAGAAGCATCTCTTCATCCTTGCTCATCTCAGCATAATTAACCGTCTTCTCGAGATTAGGGCATTCATATTGAAAATGCCCTAATCGGTGGCATTTGTAACATTCAATTGTTGCTTTATTGTAGCTTTGACGGCCTCGTCCATGACCTCTTCCTCCTCTGAAGCTGTTTCTCCCTCGTCCTCGACCACCGGTGTTACCATAAGAAACCGCCAGTGCTTGTTCTTCATCTGGTTCCCTCTTGAACTTTTGTTCATGGACCAAGAGGGAACTTTGCAAGGCATCAACTGTGAGCTCATCAACATCATTAGCTTCCTCAATGGAACACACAATGTAATTCCATTTCTCCGTCAGTGTTCGCAAAATTTTCTCTACGATTTTGACATCTGTCATGTCTTCACCGCAATTTCGCATGTCATTGGCTATGGTCATCACCCTTCCAAAGTAGTCATTGACTGACTCCCCTTGTTTCATAGCCAACACCTCGAATTCTCGTCGGAGTCGATTGAGCTGAGCACGTCGAACCCGATCATTTCCTTGGTACTTCATCTTCATGGAGTCCCACAACTGCTTGGAAGTGTCCTTCTTGGTGATGGTTCTCAGAATTGATTTGTCCAAGGATTGGAACAAGTAATTCTTCGCCTTCAAATCCTTAAGTTTCAAATCATCCAGGGTCTTCCTTTGCGTATCTGTCTGCAATTCTCCTTCTTTGGGCAACATGTAACCGTTCTCCACCACGGGCCAATATTCTCTGGATCTCAAGAGATTTTCCATGACCATCTTCCAATGATCGTAATCTCCATCGAATCTGGGAATGGAGGGTACAGAAAATCCACCATTCTTCTCTTCGGATCCCATACCCCAAACACTCTATTTTGTGGTACTCTCACACTTTTGAATCCCTCACACTTTTGAGGTCTTTCTCGCTCTGATACCAGATGTTAGCAAATCTGGTAACTGATATTTATTAGAATGAAATACTGCTATATAAATAGCTTACAAAAAGGAAAGCTGAACTGAATGCTTCCTAAGAATCAGGGCCACTAAGTCATACTTGACTCCCTACAATTTAGGCTTAAATAAAACTAACAACCATGATCCTCTCACGATCAATAGAGACTAAGTCAGTTACATATAGCAAATAACAATTAATAACAATATTAATAATAACATAACAAAAATGACATAAATAAAATTGTCAATAAAGTGAAAAATAACATAAACATGCAACAACATAACTATGAGATTCAGTTGATGTCATGATCTTTGAGGATCCTGTAATTGTAACCAGGAATTCTATTGAAATTAACGTTTTCTGTTACTTGTATAACACAACATGTTTTTGCTCTTTGCTTCTTCGTCTTTAACAACATCCTGAAACTGCTAGAAACCATGTTCACAAAGTGTGAATGAGACTTTTGTGATTTTCCTAATTTGTCTAACTCGATTTTGGTGAAGTATTCAATTTCCTTCCTTACTAGAGATCCAATTGTACCTCTTGTGCCTATAGCAACTGGAGCAGGAGCACTCATTCTCATTCTATTTGAAAACTTTGGTTTTAGTGGCTGGGTGGGAGTGGTAGTGGCACTGATTTTATAGCTCCTTTTGCATAAAGATAATTGAGGTCATTGTCCTATATTTAATTTTCAATTTGGACCATCTTCTAAATTGCTACATGCTTTATGAAAAGCAGCCTAATTGAAAAAATATATTTTTTTTAAATATTTGCCTAATTTAGTTGACACTTTATTGACAAACAATTTTCGATTAGGAAAATAAGCATTATGCGAGTCTAGGATTAATTGTAGTCGATTCTGCAAGTAACCTTTAATAAGAGGCTAGAGATTGTTTCGCGAGAAACACACGATTCGTACAAATGTCAATTGTTTATACAACTGATGTTTAAAAACATTTGTTTAGATTATACGATATGTGTTGTGAGTATCGGACACTAACATATTATTCGACAAATTTAAACTTCTTAGGGCGCTTGACTAGAACTCAAGGGTTCACTATTTTAATTTTTATTATTCATGTTGATTTAAAGTTAATTTCCACCTTTCATGCCGTAGCCAAAGAAAAGAGGCTGATCTTTCATTGTCTTAGTTTTGTGCTTTTTGTGGGAGGCGGGGCCTATTAATTTGCTGGATTGCTGATAATTCTTCTGTGGCAAGATTCTTTTTGACTTTTAAACATCATAGTTGATTATTAAATATGTGTGAAATTTGAAATGATGCATTGTTTTGGAAAGACAAAAAAGACTTTGTGGACATTTAGTGAAATAAAATTATCATTCATTGTGCATGCATGCATGTACTCATGCAGCAGCCTGTAGAAAAGCAGCATAATCGTTATCTTTCAACAAGGATTTCATTGGTCCAGTTTTTCTTACTTCTTCTCCTTGATTTCAGCATTAGAATTTAAAAAGAACTGTCAAGATTACAAATTCCAGTAATTGGTTTTCTGGTAACTACAGATCATTAAGTTACTAACAGTGGACTACTGATCTTAATGAAAATCAACTAACTATTTGCTAAACAGGTTTTTGAATTTTGACTTACATGATATATTAGAGAAAGGTGAATTAAGGATTAGAGAATTTAGTTAACAAAATAATGTTGCTCTTTCAAATTCGAATTTAGAAGATTTACAGAGTTAATGAACTTTGGGTGTGCTGCCATACAATATCAAGATTGAACTATGTTATAGTAAAAACAAATGGAGGAGAATAGTATAATGGAAACATTTACACAAAAAATTTATTAAAAAAAAAAGTCCTAATATTCCTCTTTTTAATAATGTCACTAACTTTTACATTAGGAAAAAAGCAACTTGGAAGCGATAATTTTTATAAACTAGTTAATAAATATGTATTAGTAAACAAGGGAAGAAACAAACTAATAAAGGGATATAGTAAACAAATGACAATGCACATATCTGTAAGCCTCAAAATTGGTTACCTACTCTATACTTGTATATATGCTCTCAAATAGAGACTCTCATTCTTTGTTTTCGTTTTTTAAATTATTTCGTAAGATTGGGAGAACAAATTATTGTATGCCGGGGAGATGGCACACATATCCCATTCTTCGATAAGAGGCATGGGCATGTTGCAAGGCAACATTAACACTAGCACCTTCCTTATATAATGATTCATACAAAATACAAACAAATTGTGACAGCTCCTCTTCATCATCGTCCCAAAAAGATGCGCAGTCTACAGTTTTCTCCGCGTCACTATCTTCCCAATCACTTACTGGACTGGCAGGTATGTTCTCGTCATCTGCTTCATCCTCTCCAATTTCAAACTTTCCATTTTCCATCACATTCAACTCACTGGTACCATCCAAGGTCGTCAACTGAGACTCTGGGGGTTCAGTTGAAGGACATATAACAGCTTTGGCCCCAGAGTCCAGAAAGGCCTTGATAAGTGCAAGAGTAGGTCCGTATGTCCCTGTGCATATAATTATCCTGTCTCTCCAAGCTCCAACCTAGATTATTCAAGATACCAATAAGAGATTAAAACAGAGATAAGTCAGAACATTTTCACGTATGACAGGATCTAAAGCTCGGAATAACTAGCAATTTCTCGCCCCTATACCTCATACATCAGCAAAATGCTGCTGTACGGGAGAACAGAGACGGCATACAGCACAAGCTATTATTGTGATTCGGTCATTCTTCTTCAAAGCTATGATTGTTCCTAGAAAAGTACTCCGGAAAAGATTTGACTAACAAAGCACACAACTAAGACGATGAAACATATACGAACCAATTTCTTTACAGGCGTCCGAAAAGAAAGAGATTTGACTAACAAAAACAGACACCATAATTGCGAAAAAGATGGCTGTAGATGATATCTTACAGGCGTACAATATCCACGCAGACTAATGCTTTAAAAATTTGCCTAAGCTATTCTCACAATAAAATGATAGTCCATACACAGTAGGATTACTTAAAATTTTATTAAAAAAAAAAAAGCGTGTTATGTTCACCCATGAAAGGCCAGGGAAAATGAAAGGACTAACATTCAACCATCATTCTATACCATAAACCTCAAGATCAAGATCAGAATGCTGAAAGAGAACAGTGTATAAGAGTGCCCCTATTAGTTTACGAGAAGCTCTGTCAAAATGTACATCCAAAGAGACAACTAGAAAATTAAAGTGGGAGCAGAGTCATACCATCCATCTTATATCATCAGCTGATAACTGCATAGAAGGGACAGTCCTACGAAACATATACGAACCAATTTCTTGATTATCTTCCATTATCTACATAAGAGATATCCAACTCAAGCTTCTAATATGTATATTATTATTAATTTGATTTCAAAACCTTATAAAGCATAAAGGACGTAGATATACCAGGGTTTGACGACCTAGATATCGGTGAACAATGCCTCCAATTTGGAAATAAGGTTTAAAGGCAACTAAATCAGAAATAGTAGAGATTTTGGTCAGTAGAGATGCGCCCTTTCTGCGATGGCACCTCATTGTTGATAGCAAACTGAATTTTACACTTTGTAGAAACTTCTCAGCAAGATCTCCAGGTTCAGCCACGACAAATACGTCATTGTGCCAACTAAATAAAAGGGTAGCATTATCAGCATTCCGTCCGTATGTAGAAAAAAGAACTGTTTATAACAGGGACTCATAACACATGGTAGCAAATACCTAATAACTAAGCCATCTGAGTCAGCTTGAAGTGCTAAATGGATAACACCCACTTGTGGGGAATTCTGCAATTTTTCATGCAATGCTTTGACAGGCAAAGAGAGCTGTCTAAGTCCTCGAGGAGAAATTGGAGGTGATGCGACTGTTCTTCCCTGTTGACCATCTAAACTTAAAGGGGGGACCAGATCAATCCGTCCAATCCTTTGACCAAAATCAGGACTATACACAAGTGGACTTGAAGGGAAGCTTCCTGTAAACATAGGAGACGCAAATGGAGTTGGGAATCTAGATGATGGCACGTTCTTTACAATCCCAGCCAAACCTTGCATGAAGGATAGTCGTATGCCATTACGAGCACAAAATGACTCAAGTGCCCGGGCATGGTGGATCAATCTTCCGGAATCTGGATTATGTGAAGCTTCAACTAGTAGTACATTACGCCTCCACCCTAAAGTGGGGCCATTCACACCTGATAAAACATGATAAAAACAATTTCAATATCTAAGCGGGGACCAAGTAAAGTGAAACTTTACATAGAAAACATATGATCCACAATACCCTCAATTGACTCCTTTGTCTTGGGAAATTTAGTTCTCAGACTCTCTGACCACTTATCCTCATGCTGGAAAGGAAGAAGCAATCTCTCACAGGCATTTTCAAATGCCAGATGATTCTGCTGTATATATTCTTCAACTGCAGATTCCAGCTTAAGCCAGATAGTTGGATCTGTCTCATCCAGTTCCATGTCACAGCGTTCATCAACTGTGAGGCAAAACACATAGAACACTTGCTGAGAATAAAGTTCTTTTGAAGAATAGAAGCTGTTTAATGACACCTCTTCATTAAACAACAGGAAAAAAATGAAGTTAAAATTGAAAGAGAACTAAAAAAAATTGAAAATTGATTCAAATAGAATTGGAAGAAGGTTGTTCCATTCCTCCACTCCAAAATGGAAGCAGGATACCTGGATTGAAACGATAATAGTGTATCTCAGGAAGCATAGGTAGCAATGTACTTAAAGCTTCCTCTACCCTATCAACAGAGCATGCACTCTCAACCAACACCTGTCCAGTATCCATATACCGCCAACCACCTTTTCGTACCTACAAATATACAATAACAAAAATCTGTAGCTCAAGAACTTCAATAGTCAATGACAAGTCTCTTAAAATAAAATGTACTAATCAAAATTCTTCCTAACTTTCATGTTAAAGGAAGTGTAGAAGCAAATGCGACACTGGAATAACTACCAAGGTCCTTGATCTTCTTTTCCAAATGCAGAATATATTACAGATTTAAAACAAAGATTAGTCACCTTAGTTGGAACAGAACCGGATCCTACTGAAACCAGGGTATCAATTTTTGTGTCAGGCCACAGAAGTTGTGCTTCTCTTATCGCAAAAATTGTAGGATTATTTGCCACTATTGCTCCATCTTGCCAGCGGTTGACATCTTATGACCATTGCAGGATGAAGAGACACATGTCAAAAACAATACAGAAGAGGAAATCACAAACTTAAATACATGCAACTTGATATAAACAACGGCAGAGCCATCAGTACCATCAGAGAAATCATCAAGATAATATGGAGCTGCAGAGGATGCTCTGATAGCCTGCCACACTTGATGCTTACAACTTCCAATGAATGCACTGCGCTTATAGCCAACTTGTGCACTCATAGGTGATGTTAACACGGCAATCCCTGAACTATCTGATGCTGCAAGAGCCACCTCTGGTGTTCCAGCAGGGTACTTCAATTGTGAATGGAAAGGCAGAAACGGGTGAGTGGGATAATGAATTATAAAGAACCAATATATCAACAACCACGGACATGTGTAACTTAGAAGCCCGTGTACACATTAAAAAAATTAGGTTCACACCTGATAATTGCGAAATATGAAGGGTTGTGCTGGCACCATGTTCACTAATGTTGAGACTACAAAAACTTTGGGCACATTTTTTACAGCAGAGTCTATTAATAAATCCCCATCCTCATCAACACACAGCTCCTTCAATAGCCTCTCAAACTGTTCTGCACTGTGCTGCAAGACAATGAGTCAAAATACTCTTTTTAGGACATAGAACTACATAGATATATATTGGATAAAGCTGTCCAGATATATAATAGCGGCAGAAAAAAGAATGCATTATGCACTTCTCTAATACATATCAAGCTCATGCAGCAGCTCCTTGTTATGTGTATAATAGTCATTGTCATAGTTGAATTATGTTAGTCAGTTTGTTCAAACAAACTGGCAAACTATCAGTTAATTTAGGGTTTTTTGCTATGATGCATAAGTACGGGGACGGTATCGGTACGGGTACCAGTACGGGATACGACTTCTTTTTTTTAAATGAAGGTACGGGTACGTTAATACAAAATATGATTTTTCTATAAAATGTATGAGTAGAGAACTAAACTGATAGTTTCACAACAAAACATCACTATAAAAGTTACAAAAATAAAAAATAATGTTAAGATATAATGACAAAGAAATTAAAATACATAAATATACTATTTTGATATTTGTGAAAACACAAATTTTACTCGAAACCGAATAATAAGAAAACATGAAGTACCTCGAATACGGTACGTGTACCCAAGGTAGTCAAGATCGAGATATGGGTCGTAAGATCGTACGATCTGAAATTGCCTTTTAGTGCTAAGATCCTGCAAAAATCTTTTTTGTGTGCTTTTGTAGTCAAGATCGAGATCTTTAAAGTAAGATCATAAAAATCATAGTGCTGGGCCTGTTTTGTTGGGCTTTCTAACCAGGTCTGATTTTTTAAGTGAACCCAGTTTTGTCTTACTTAAGATCTCTCTTTCCTAACCCTAAAACACAAAACACCAAACGGCTGCAGCATCATCTCTCTTTCCTCATGTGATATCATCTCTCTTTCCTCATACAATATCATCTCCTTCAACAAAAATCTGAAACTTTCCACCATCATGATTTAGATGCTAGTGGTATTATTGATGATGATTTAGATGTTCCTTCCGTTGTTGAAGATGATGCCAATGAAGTGGAAGAGAATGAGGATGAGGATTTATATGACTATCATGATATAGGAATGCATAATATCTTAGATGATTAGACTTATTTGTTATATTTATGTATTTTGAGCTACTTATTTTGAACTTAATCTTTTGAGAGCTACTTATTTTGAACTGATCTTTTGAGCTTATTAAATTAGGGAATGATGATTATGAATTATTAATTAAATTAGTTGAATGTTGTGATTTATAGGTTATCTTGTTCATGTATTATAAATTTCATGTTTTTGTCCATGAGAATTTACCATTTTGCCTTTCGGTAAGATCTTAGTGCCGTGCTACGATCCTAGTTTTACGATCTTTTACAGGCCGTTCGATCCTGCATAAGATCCCGTGTTTGACTACATTGCGTGTACTCAGTACAGGTGTGTACCCAGTACCAGTACTTCACCATTTTAGAAGTAACCATGCTTCAGAGGTTTTATGTAATGACAAATATTAGTTGTTCTTTTGTTGGTGGAGGGAGTTGAACCTAAGTATGATCTTCAAACCACTCCAACCGTTATATCCCTCCCAAACCAAGTCACATCATCACTCTTAGTTAGTTCAGTTTAACTAATTCAAACTGACCAGTCCTCTATAAGTAGAACTTTTGTAACTCATTTACATATATGCAATTTAGATACAGCTTCAGATTCAGAAAACAAAAATATTCTTTCAAAGTTTCCTTCATTTTCTCTTCTGCTTAACTTATAATATGGTAATGAAGCTTCCTTATAATCCAACACCAGTGATTTTCACCATCAATCCCATTGCTTCCTTAACGTATCGAATTATTAACTAAGATTCCATACCATTTTCAAGCCAAGTCGCTATCAAACTTTATGAGAAATTGTTCTCCCACAGAAGAAACAGATGAAGGTGTCATCAGAGATTCAGAGATTACATACTAAAGAATTATGTTTGTTAGAGATAAATCTAATTAGCCATGGAAGCTTGTCCATGTGCCAGCTGGCATACAGTTATTAGTTTCTGGTATATCAGTTCCTTGAAATCAATAAATACCTCATTGATTTCAAGGAACTAATATAACATCAACTAATAACACTATGACAGCTGGCACAGTTGTTATTCAATTCCTCCATTCTTGGCTGATGCAGTCACGATCTTGGAAACATCAACCCTGAATATTATGAATGGAAACAGCCTTCAATGCTCTCCACGTGTCCTCTTTCTTTTCTATCAGAATTAATGCTCTCACCAGTGGGCAGTGGCTCATTGTATCCATTCCTAGAAAGTCTGGGAATAAATCTCTAATTCCTCTCATGTGTAGACCATACCAAAGTCTTGCTTGTTGCGATATGGTTTAGAAAAATATCACAAAAGATTATCCTACCTTATACAAATACTTGAGCAGATCATGGATGTCATTGACACTATTGGGTTAGTTGGAGACCGGTATCCCACCATAATCATCTAGAAACTATATTTTGAAGGTATTCCATATATTGCCTTCTCTGAACTGAAACATATTGAGGGTGAGATCCTTATGACTGAAGTCCACATCTGGATCATGCATCTATCGTATATTGTATTTGGAAATCACCATTTTCGCGGTGGTACCATGCAGTGAGCACGAAGCTACTCCTTGGAGAAGTCAGATTCCCCATGGTGAGAGATGAATGGTTGCATTTTCAAACATCCGATTAGACCAAACTTAATATCTTGGCGGTCCTAAAAGCAAACAATAGTAACTGGAATCATTATTGAGGCAGAACACAAAAGTATTGTCAGCATTGCTTGTAGAAATTGTGGGTACAGTCCTTGATTACTGTGCTTGATGTCAATTTTACAAACTCCTATCACTTAATGTGACAACTTAGTTAATGCATCCCTATTACACAATCCAGTGCTTCATGATAGGACCGGACATATGGAGCTCAGCATCTTTGAGCAAGAGAAAGTACTTGATTAGAATGTCATAGTCCACCATATCCCTGCTGCTGATCCAAATGTAGACATTCACACCAAGCCCCTCTCCTCACTACAGTTTACTACTCTTTGAGACAGACTCATGGTGTTTGATAAGTTAGCACTCGATCAACCACCTTGAGTTTGAGGTGGAAATACAGTGCAATTTTTATGCTGTGGCAGAGCTATCATCATGCTCACGCAGAAACTTCTAGCTGGCTATATTGGCCCCTTTTAAACTCTTATATTCTTATACTCTTGTAGTCAGCTAGTTCTAATAAAGTGACACAATTGCCAGTTAGAAGAATTTAGCTAATTTCAACTGACTGTTGTTACTCACTCACATGCATGAAATTCAGAGACGGTTCAGAGAATTCTCTCTCAAACTATCAATTTAATTCATTTTACCTGCTATTTCTGTATAATCTTTATTATATACCAAGCACCTCTTGTGATTCATTTTCTTCTGCTTAACTTCTAATACACTGTCTTCAATATAAAATAAATTACACAAACAAGCATTGTCTCATTTCCACCCCATTTCTAAAGGACATGCTCCAAATATCATATAAACAAGAAGTGTATCAAGCGAGCGTGTGAGAATAGAGGAGCTAATCTGGACCACCGACCACTGAGAAAAGAATGGTTGAGAACGGTTTTACTTCAGAATTAATATTGACTATTCATTTATGGTAGTTGGGCAAGATTAATTCCTATCGTAAGAGCATGTTCATATGTATGTAAAAAGAGACGTGATAAAAAAATTGACAGTACAAAAAACATAAAGAAAAGAAGTGCATACTTTTGATCCGTGAACAACAACTCTAAAACTTTGTGATGAACTCTTATAAAGCTGATCTAACTTGTCTCTCCAAGTTGCAGCTTCGTTATCCTTGGGAACCGCCTCAGCAAAAACAAGTTTCCCTGGTTAAAAATTGAATCAGCTTAGAAAGAATGGCAGGGTATATGAATAGATCCATAAAATTTATAAGTTAATATGTGCAATTTTAAAGCAACATCCTCACCGAGATTCTTGTATATATCTTCACATTCTTCTAAAGTCATTAACTTCATCCCAAGGGAAACAGCTAGCATGCCACCCGTTGATGTACCACATATTAAATCAAACAACTCATGTATTCGTTTTCCGGTTCCCTTTTCAATTTCCTTTAACATTTGCACGGTTGCTAGACCTTTCATCCCACCTCCATCCATTGAGAGTATGCGAAGCCCTTGCTTTGCCACTTGTTTCCCTCTTATTGCACGCCTCAGGTTTTCATTCTCTCCTACAGCACATGCAAGAATGAATTAATTCAATAAACAATAAAACATGCTGAAAACACAGCTAAAGTTATCTCCAGAGGCAAACCAAGAATTGCCAAAGCACGAGCTGCAGCTTTATAAACACGTGGTTCAGTTGCAACAGCCATGCGTAAGAGAAGTTCTCGCAAACTTTCAGAAGTAACAAGGACACGACGATTCTCCAGACAAAAGGCCAAATTCCCAACAGCTAACAGAGCTAGTCTTTGCACCTATGGAGTAAACCTTTAAATTAAAAGATTATACAATATAAAGATTTGTTGCTTTCAGAAATTGTTTAGTGTTTTAACTTTTATATTTTAATTGCAAACAACAGCGTTGATTTTTGCTTTGTTACTTGTTGTCCAAGATTTGTACATGAAACAGTAAAAACAAAAAACAAAAAAGAGATTTTTCTTTAGTTTCCTGTACAGTAGAAACTCTTTAAATTAATACTCGGTAAATTAATAAACTCTCTAAAATAATCAATTTGTCCGGTCCTGACTTAAGCCAATGTAAAAAATTGAAAAACTTGATAAAATAATAAGATGATAATTTTTCGAGAGATCCCTTTAGAATTTTCGGTCCCAAGAAAATCATAAATTAATAATTCATAGAAACTGAAAAAAATATATTACACTCTATTGAAATACGATTCAATAGTTGTCTGTTTTCCTTTAAAGTTCAAGTCTATTTGGATTTCATCTCTAACTTTTCTTATTGCATCCAATAGAGCTCAGGTGTTGTATTTTTGTATTGTATCATAAATTTTTGTGCTTGCAGGATTATCTCTCTTGTACTCACACAACTCCTTACGTATTTGATCTGACATAGTTGATTTTGCAACACCTTTTAGATGAGAAGCCATCTTGTGAGATATGATTTGAATACTCTAACACATTCATGTAATTTATATATGCCAAACTTGCTTAAGAATACATTAAACACATTTGTTCCTCTTGTTTACATTTACTGTACTTCAAAAGTCATTATTGATTTCCAATGCATATGAACAGTGTAGTTACTAATTTACGTTGAGTCCCAAGGTTCGCTGCAACGTAATTCTAAGAGGCATAGACTAATTTGCCTTTTTGTTTGGTATGTACAGTATAGTTACTTAAAAATTCTTTAAATTAATAATTATTAATTTATCGATAAATTAGTAACTCTCTAAATTAATAAATTTCTCCTGTCCTAACATTATTAATTTAAAGAGTTTCTACTGTACATATAAACAAAAGACAGTGAAATATGGAAGTTCTCTAATTAAAAGTGAAAACAAATTGATAAAAAAAATGTTTTATCAAAACTCATACGGAATCAATTAAATCATTATAACGAAATAAAACTAACTTGCCTCGGGATCTTTATATGCACATAAGATTTTCAATGATTTCAAAACATCCTTGGTCAACATCTTCTCAGCAACAGTATCAGATGTAAAAGCCAACTTAACCACAACTTGCAATACAGATATAACCTCTTCCCGGCCTGCAGATTTCAGAACTATTCCAATTGGTTGCATGATGTCTGCCTTCATCAGCTGCAGTGCGACAGAATCATCAGAGGCAAGGGCTGAAAGAGCAGAGCAGGCTTGTTCAACCTGTAAAATATTAAGAATAATCTTGATGATCAAATATAACAGCAGGGTATATAAATAACTGGTGACCTCTAGACCCATTAAAACATACCACATGACAATTGTCACTGCTTATCATACTTATGAGCTGACGCACTGCATTCTCATCTTTACCTACAAATGCTCTATTTCCTTGGTCTTGCATAATCTTTCCTAGAGCAGATGCTAGTAATGGGTGATGACAAGAAGAAAAACGGAATATAAGAGAGAAGGCAACACTTAGTTTATGCCTAGATGCACCAAAATAAGAACTGTTTTCCATCTGCAATGACCAAAAAAAAAGTATGTGTAATTGAATATGTAGTATGTTTTAATCTCAAAAAATAGTCCAGTTAGTTTGCAAATTGCCACCTCTATTTGCACATTTACTGATCTCAAATTTTCATCTGCGACAATCCTAATGTTTGCAAGAGAAAGGTGACGAAGTTTGTGTAGGGGCAAAATTTCCGGAAGAAACTCAAGAGGATTTCCAAATAGCCTAAGAACACGTAGTTCAGCCATAGCCCTATCATACATGGTAACAGTAAGACCAGAAGAATAAATGAAGTCCAAACAAATTCACAAAAACCATCTAACCCAAAAACCTGAAGTCAAGAAGAGGCCGAACAAGCTTGTTGTGTTCCAATGACAACTCCACCAATTCCACACATTGTCTCAGTTCCACTGCTCAAAAAGCAACAAAAAAAAAATCAGATAAAAGCAAGAAACACTCACTAATCTTAAAACCTCAAAAATACTTTAGGAAATATCTTAATAGTGAATACTTGGAATCCACAAGATCATTTTTAATGCTTCTCTGCATTAAGTGGGGACCATAACTTCTGTTACCCGATTCAATAAGGTTTCCGTGTTTGTTTTTAATTGGTAGCTTCATGTATCCTAACACTGCTCATTACTTCCAGAATGTTTTGTTGACTCATGTTTACTCAGTGCACATACAAGTAAATGTGAAAATATTTCTACATCTACTAGGCACGTATCAAAACAACTGATCTACTACTATCCTTGCATGGTAATAATCTGGACAACAAAACACTTACCAGGTACAGAGACAAGCATGTTGTTGTCAACTCTAAGCACTCTTAAGCTTCTTAGCTCACCAAGCTCAGGTGGCAAAACAATCAGCTTGTTGTTATTTAGATAAAGTTTTTCTATGTGCGGCAATTGTGTAAGTTCTACTGGAAATACCTGTATACAAATATAGTGTTATAAACATCCTTGATCCAACTCAATCATGTTTAACTTCCGCACCCAAATTATGAAATTGAATGCCCTTCCATAGAATCAGGGAAGAGATAACAAGCATGGAAGAGATAACAAGCATACAAACAGTAACAATACAACATTAATATTTCATGTTGCTTAGCAATAAATCAGAGTATCAACAAAACTAGACTATCTAGTTCTTTCAATTTTGGAAATTATACATATTTCTTTTAAGTAAATATAATTAGTGATATATAACAAAGTTTATGTGGAAATAAAAGGCAAGCAGGCAACAAGCTGTGCCGCTATCCTTTTTTAGATAGCAAAACCAATTCTCTTAAAAAATACATCCATTACATTCATTGTTATACATATCAATCAACAGCCATCAGATTAACAAAAGCATACATACGAATCACAAAGGTAAAACCTATACATATGTTAAATATTGAAACTCACACAAATTGAAATTCATTAACTGCATAAAATCATATCAGAAGAAACAACTCTAATCAAAGCAACAACAAACCAAAAGTAAAGCTCACCGACAAGCCACAACCACAAATACTAAGCACAGCAAGACTGGTCCAATGCTGTCCGCCACCACGTGGAACACTCTCATCAACCTCCGGTGGCGTCGAAGAAACCATCTCAGACCGCAACAAGCGCGTCAAAACACCAGTACCATCACTCTGCAAACCAGAGTTAACAGCCTTAGCCATTGTAATCGCCCTAAGCGGATCCCTTCTCTTAACCACCTTCATACTCAAATCCACATAATCCTCCTCATCGTCACGAGGCATCGGCATCAACTCAATCACGACGGTATCCTGCGGCATCGGCAAAGCCACCATGAGTTGTGACTGAAGTTTCAAAGCAACCTGATCTTCATCGTCCGATGATGACCAATCCAATTCAATTCGAAAACCTAAATCCTGATCCTGAGATACTATTGACGAGGAAGAAGAGGACGCGGAAGATGAAGATGCTGATGAGGAACGGGAGGAGGTTGAAGTACGGGCGAGACTCTCCGGTGGATCGTCATTGCCGTAGCTGAGAGTAAGGTGGAAGATTTCGGAGGGTCTCTTCCAACCTAATCCCCAAGACATTATCGATTGTTGCGATCGAGATGTGAGAATCAGTTACACCATGGAGTCGGTGAAACTGAATTTGGTTGTAGATTGAGGTGAATCCGATCGTTGATGAATGCCGATTAGGCGATTACTGATTCCAAAAAAAAATATGATGAATCTGAGAATGAAGATTTCACGGAGTGAGAATTATGCACAGAACGGTGATGGTATATTGCTCGGAAGCAAAACAAGAGAAGGAACCGAAGCAATGTCTGAAATGTTTACCAGTTGTAATTAATTCATTAATTAACATAAAATCTTATCAATTTCTCAATCACTGTCCTTTATTCTTTTTGTTTTTGTTTATCACTTTATAAACATTTTTATTTTATTGGTTTTAATTAGGTAGTTCAAAACCAAACCAGTATATAATAGAAAATTGTTAACTGAATTAAATCTAATAAAATTATAAAAAATTGTATTTGATTAAAATCTGTTTGGTTTTTTTTTTAAAAAACTGCATGGTTCAGTTTAGTTTGTAATTTATATTTTATAAATCAAATCGAATCATATTATATTATAATTTAAATTTTATTTAACTCACATTCAATCCAAACACAAACTTATTACTAATATGTCTTAACCTTATAATTATGAATAATTTTGTCTTCTTTACACTTAAGATTTCAGTTTAAGTCTTCTCAAATCTCTCCTAATAATGTCACACATTCTTCTCATCTTCTTTTTCATATAAATCTCATATCTTCTTCTATACTCTCTCATATCTTATGTTTTTTTTTCTTTTTCATCTTTTTATTTTATTTTATTGTTCTTTATTCAATTACGTTTTTAATACACGTCTTCTTCTCTAATCTCTCATTTATTATGCTTTCTTTTTCCATCGGTCCTGGGCTTTGCAGGAGCAAGTCGAGGACGCATGACCCTGTTGTTCTTGAACTCAACGTTGGAGCACTCCGCAAGGATACGCTCGCGGGAAGTGTTCAGTAGGGTGTACTCCGTGTACCGCCCGACTAGTTCTTTGTGCTCGCGAGGTTTCTTCTCCCTTCTCTTCTCCCCATTCCATCGAGAAGGGCTCGCGTCATGGTGTCGCGGGATGTTAGTTGGTTTGTGGTTCCTCGAATCGCGGGCGTTATTGGCGGCCTTTTTTTCCTCGTAGTCCTTGTATGTCCGGGCTTTTTCGAGGAATGCATCAAAAGACCTGGGGGGTTCAATATCGACGGCCTTTCTAAATTCAGTGCCCAAGAGGAGTTCCCTCTCGAACAGGTATCTCTTCATGTGGTCGGTGCATGAGACCTGAATGGCCTCACGGTTGAACCAATCAATATATTCTCTGAGGGTCTCGTCGCATCTCTGGAGGATTGCCTCGAGGACAGACTCAGTCTTTGGATGTCAACGAGATGCAGTGAAGCTGCTGATGAATTGGTTTTTGAGGATCCTCCATGAGGTGATCGACCCAGGGGAGAGATTCTTATACCAATCCATGGTTGTTTTCCTCAACGTCGTGGGAACAGACTGTATTTAGTTGGGCCTTCGATATTGTGGTAGTGGAGCATCGCTTCAAACCCGTCAATATGGTCGACAGGATCGGCAATGTTGTCGTACTCCTTCAGCAGAGGAGGTTTCTCCATTCCTTTAGGAATGAAAGCCTCCATGATGGATTGGGATAGTGGACCGTGGGGATCATCTTCGTCGCTTCTTTCTAGAGAGCGAGAAGGGGACCGATTGTAATGGCAATCTTTGTGTTGGCCTTGGCCACTGGGAGGGTCCCTTAATCGAGACTGCTTTTCTTTATTCCCCATATTTCTTTTTTGTCCAGGGGATCGTCGCTCCTTATGCGGGGAGTGTGATTGCACTTCCTAACAGCTTCGGGTTGGTCCCTCTCCAATGCAAGACCGCGCCCTGTGCGACATGGAGTAGGGCTTCGAGAATCGTCCCGTCTGTGTCTCAGCGGGGGAGATCGGGAGCGGTCTGCTGGGGAGGAGGAGTTCGGGAGTTAGGTCTCATGTGCTTTCTGAGGGCCCGACGGGTCTGCTCCAACATCATCAGTTGCTCACCCTGTGAGAAGATCATGTAATTAGTCTGGTTGATTGTCACAAACAGGGCTCTGGTCGTGGCGTTAGCACCTTCAGAAACGGGGATCTCCTGATATGTATTGGGCTCATAATTCTGGGGAGAATGGTATTCATCGTCGCGTGGTTGTGAGAGGGTGGATAAAGAGGTGATTTGTCTGTCCTTGTGGTCTTGCTCGGGGGAGGTTGCATCGTTATTGTTGCTCGCGTTGTTGTGCCCAGCGTTGGCAGAGTGAACGTTCTGGTCATTGTTGAAAGCATGGTCGACCGTGATAATTAGAAGGTTGATAAATATTTGCTTTGGTCTTGAGTGGAAAATAGGGAAGCTGGATTGCCACAGACGGCGCCACTGATCGTACCTGATCAGAAGAGATTGTCAAGGTGCACGAGCTTTAAGTCGAGCAGTGGTTGAATGTGAAATGGGGGTACCTGCAAGACACTCTAATGCCAAAATAAGGTTCAAAGTAAGTGCAAGTAAAGCATTAGAGTATGGGTGAATAAATGAATACTTGTCCCTCTTAAGTGAGAGGATATTTATATCCCCCAGCGCTGGGCCAAGGTCCCCATATTTGGCTGACAGAGCAGACCCAAAATAAAGATTGTCGGGTCCTACGTGTGTAGTGAAGGCTAGCATGTGGTCTCCAACCTGAATGGGCTCCTCCGAATTATTAGGAGGACGTGAACGCAGTCTCTTCGGGGTTAAGAAAACTCTGAGATATTCAGAGGCATTGAATGCTAGCCCTACGAGGAGGGTGCTCACTAGGACCTCTTGAGCGTTATTGGCCCTCCTCGCCAGTCATGCGATGAGATTGTCCCCGAAGGGCGTATCTTGATCGACAAGAGGAATGGATTCACCGCCCGACATGGTCAAGGGTAGAATCTCTCCTGCTGGTCTTCTCCTGCAGCATAGTTGGATTGAACCTTGTATGATGTTTGGGTCAATGCGGGCTCTGTCCAAAACAATAGTAAAAAAAAGACAAATTGATGATTTATGTTGCGTTGAATTTTGAAAGTGACTTTTCTATTATTAGAAACTAAGTATAATCATTTGTATTTTTGGTGTAATCATTTTATTCATTAAGATATAGTAATTTATTTTACGAAACTAATGAATATATAAAAATAAAAGATGATAAATTCACCTTATATGTTTTTCTGTTTATGAATAAGAATAGGTGTGGATTGATAATGTTAGACTCTCAAGGTTGAGATGTTGATCTCTAATACGGTGGCGCGAGGTGAACCTGCAAGGTTAGCACTTCACATCCAAATTACTTATTGTAGTTTTGGAATCATAAGCTAAGTATTAGATCAAACTTCAAACTTGAAGGGGTAGCTTCAGGATTCAACAAGGTCAAATTAGCATGATGTAATCGAATTCTGTTCAAGCATGTAGTAGTCGAATATAGCTCATGTATGTTGTTATGTATGTCATGTATTATTATTACCATCATACATTATATACATAAGTTAGTAGAATATATATAGGATGTTATCTCACTTTTCTAGGATAGAGGTTGGTTGTTAATTTTTCACTTGTAATCATTTAATGCTCAATGAGAAAGTGAATTGAATAATCGTCATAATCAACTCTCTCTCTCTCTCTCTCTCTCTCTCTCTCTCTCTCTCTCTCTCTCTCTCTCTCTCTCTCTCTCTCTCTCTCTCTCTCTCTCTCTCTCTCTCTCTCTCTCTCTCTCTCTCTCTCTCTCTCTCTCTCTCTCTCTCTCTCTCTCTCTCTCTCTCTCTCTCTCTCTCTCTCTCTCTCTCTCTCTCTCCTTGAGCTGAAAGGTTTCTTGTTTGATCAAGAAATTCTCTCTTTCTAATAGTTTTAATTTGTTCTTGGCACCGATTTCTCAATAAATTGGTGCAGTGAGTATGGAGGAGATGTCATCAACGAAGTGTGAGATTGAGAAATTCACCGGAGTAAATGATTTCAGATTATGGAGCTTCAAGATGCAAGCTCTTCTTGTTCAGTAGGGTTTGTTAGAAGTGTTTAAGGGATATGAAAAAATGGATGTTTCCCTAATGGAGAAGAAGTAGACGACGATGATTGAGAAAGCCCATTGTACCATCATATCGAGCCTTGGTGATAAGGTTCTCCAGCAGGTCTCAAAGGAGAAAATCGTGACAGGTGTGTGGAACTAACTTGAAGGTTTGTACATGACCAAGTCATTGGTTAATCGTCTCTACCTGAAACATGATACGTATTCATTCAAGATGAATGAAGATAAAGTATTGATTGAACAATTGGATATGTTCAATAATCTGATTCTTGATCTGGAGAATATTGATGTTAGCATCGATGATGAAGATTAAGTGTTGTTGTTGCATGCTTTACTAAGATCTCTTGCTCATTAAAAAAACTCTCTTGTGTGAAAGAGAGTCTTTGACCTTTGAAGAAGTTCAATCGGCCTTGTACTCTATGGACTTGAACGAAAACACGGAGTATAAGCCACCATCTGTTGGTGAAGGATTTTCCATAAAAGGAAAATTCTCAAAGAAGGGTGATAAATTTGAGAAGAAGAATGGTAAAATTCTACAAAAGTCTTATGGTGGTAATGCTCCTGCTATAGGTGTTATCAGTGTAATAAATAAGGGCATACCAGAAAAGTGTGTCCTGATAGGTTAAAGAGTTATGATGATAGCAAGGACAATGACAATGCAACCATTGTTTAAGATGATTATGAATCATCTGATGTCTTAGTGGTTTCGAGCAGTAATCCTAACAATGAACGGATTATGGATCCATGTTGCACTTGGCACATAACTTCAAACAAATATGTGTTTGAGGAATTATACGATCAAGATGGTAGATCAGTGATCTTGGGAAACAACAAAGCTTGCAAAATTGCAGGGATTAAATTTGTGAGATTCAAGCTCCACGATGTATCAATAAAGTTGTTGATTGGTGTTGTGTATGTACCTAATCTTAAGAGAAAATTTATT